CCCAAAAAAAGCAATATTTTTTTCTTTTCAACACATAAGCAAAAGTAAACCTACAGGAAGTAATAACATTCTGAGAGTTTTCACAGTAACGTCAGCCTCAGTTATGAGCTGTGCAACACGGGCCAGAAGGCTGTTCAGTCACGTACTAGGTTGAATTACTTAAAGCCCACAACGAATATTCAGCCCTCTTCACACTGAAGGCCCCTCTGCTATTCCCCATTCACTCACCCGTGTGCGTCCTGATGTGTCCTTGGAGCAGCCACGGTCTGGAGAAAGCTTTCCCGCATATTTTGCAAACACAAGGCAACGTGTGAGTCCTGATGTGCATTTTGAGAGCTCCCAGGCTCACGTACTCTTTCTCGCAGTATTTACAACTGAAGGATTTCCTCGTTTGGACGTCGCAGTGCAGCTGTTTATGCTTGAGCAGTCCAGAGTACGTGGAGTAGGACTTGCTGCACAAGCCGCATTGGAATTTCTCTGCCTCGACTCCGTGATGGTCTGTCAGTTTGGGCAGCATCTGCTCGTCTTCATCGCTCCTCGGACTTTCAGAGCCGCTGTGGTCTTTAGAGGAGGCGTCGGAGAGCGATGAAGGGTATCCAGAGATGGGGGAGAGGTCACTGGGGAGCGGAGACAGCGGCAAGCTGCTGGTAGTCCACACTGTGATAGGGCTGTACGCTGCCGGGCTCAGGATCTCCGGCTGGGGGATGACAGGCAAGGGGAGGCCCCTGTAGATGTGCGGCGTGATGAACACTGCAAAATAAAGAAAGTAGAATGAATGATCAGGTCTCGCCTGGCATCGCTTGAGGAGTGAGGAGCACAGATTAAAAAAAAAAAAAAGTGGGCAGATAAGTTTGAAAACTTTTGTTAAGTTAAAAAAAGAAAGAAAAAGAAAACGCGACTGCTTGTCAGAAACATTAAAACAAGTTGTTAAAGTCAGACAGGTTGGAAACGTTACCTGTTGGGCTGTCCAGCTCACTATAATTTGGCTTCTTTGCGGAGTTTATGTGTTTCTTGACCAGAAAGGAGCGTGGCATCTTGGAAAACAAGTGGACAACTTTTTGCCCAACTTTTTTGTCGTGGAAAATTCAGCGGAGAGTTTACTGTGAGAAGACGGAAATCCTTATTGCTTAAGTCCAGTGGAGTGTCATGGTGCGGCGCTGCGCTCTTGGAAACAGTGCAGCGAGTAGCTGTAAAGAGCTGTAAATACTCCCCATCAGGTGCATGGGAGGAGCCATCCACTTCTATTTACATACACTGGGACCTCAAACCAATTAAAAGTCGCTTTTACCACGGAGCTCAAAAAACGCTGTTGGCCTACAGGAGCGCATAACCCCCCCCTAGGGGCTGGGTTAGTGCCATGTTCTCCAGTTAGACAGGTGCTTTGTGCTAGACTGGTGTGTGCTGCAAGGATGCAAGTGTATCATACTGTTGTCAGTACAGTTAATATGTATGTATGTATGTATCTCAAAGATTAAAGTGCAAGGAAAATAAAATGATAAGAGAATAGTGCGGGTGAGGCAGACAGGGTTATTTATTTAAAATGCCATTGCTAATGTAATCACTGCACACAGTGTGCATGCTGCTGCTGATTGTTGTGCTACAAACCTCTGGGGACTGATTATCCTGTGGCATATTTCTTTATTTGAATTGGATACATCCCCACCAACACCAGCACTTCTAATCATGAACATTTCTTTATATATATATATATATATATATATATATATATATATATATGCGATATTCATGATATCGTGATATGCAATTATGTTGTCTAAATTGATAATGACGAGCACATACTGGCTTAAATGTCTCAGAAAATCTCAGGAATTGATAAGAATACTTCTTCTGGGAATACAATATCAACATATTGTCTTACTCTGTGCGCATGCACGTAAACAAAGACAGTGTATAGCTGAAAATATGTATTTATTTATTTTCTCAGTAGTTTCATTTGAAACTGTTGTGTTCATTTGGACAAAATGCTTATTTATTTGTCAAGTATTTAATTTACACAGGAGTATAGAAAGGAGTATGTATTTAGTGAATAACCAGAAAACATACCATATCATGATATATATCGTTATCGAGATATGAAATGACCTACATCGGAATGGAAGATTTTGGCCATATTGGCCATTTATACAATCTCTTGAACAGACAAATCTGTGGCTTCATGATAAAACCAACAACTGGACCGGCCTACATGCTGCCGTCCACATTGTCATTCTGTGGCTTTGCCGGAGGACGGCCCTTCCTAATGCAGTTGTGTGTGGAGAAAGCCACACATTTCCTCGCCAATAATGCAATAAGGCAGCAGTCCTCCTTGAAATGTAAATTTTAGAGTAGTTCCCTCTCAAGGTCAGACATGATGCTCTAATCAAATTTATCCCTGCTGCTGCTGAACTGGACACGGAGAGGCAAACTTAGCAGTCTACGCCCCCTTGTGTTCAACTCGGTTCTTCTGACAGGGGCAGCAAGGGTTGAACATCTAAAGGTAACAAGGCAGGAGAAAACACAAAGGCAAAGGCTTAGTGATTTCAAAAAGCAGCTCCTGGAGCAGTTTGATTGGCTAGGTCAGCAGATATGAAAAGCACCTTATGTCTGGGGCAAGCCTTAAGTTAATTGTGAACCGCTTATCTTATCTGGAAAACATGATTGCAGATCATGAATAGTTTCCCTTTGTGTCCACTTGGATTTATAAAGGGAAGGGAAGGTTATCTGTCCATAATAACTCCCAGCTACTGTCACACATTCAGCAGGTATGGCAAGTAGGATGTGTGAGGAGTGGCGGTGTTTTGGTGGTGATCCAGCAGAAAACATCGTACACCGTAAGAGATAATGAATTGACATCAATATCACCCACCGACCAAACCGTCTCCATGAGAAGCAGACGGAGCACAGCCAGGAGGGAGAAAAAGAAAAAAGCCTTCCTGAAGTTTTCATGCTTCAGTTCTGTTCGCTGCATTCAGAGCATGTGGATGCTGCTCTGCTGACAGGCGTGAAGCGGGAGAGAAAGCACGGTGCGCTGACTCAAATCATATCACTATTTCTGAAAAGCAAAGGCTGTACTTTATGAACTTGAAAATTAATTAACCGAGTGGAAGCCGTGTATCCTTGGCCCTATGGGATAATGTAACACCAGCAAAAATGTGCTCAATTAAAACCTGAACATGATTTTGATTTCTGGTCAAGCACATGGAAAAGGATGCTTTTTCTTGAGCGGCAGCAGCAGCTTCTCAATGCAACATCCAGGTGTCTCTAACAGTTTAGACATCTTCATCTTCTTCTGTGTGGTTACATTTTCATTTAGATGAAGTTTTGTTAAATTTTGCATATCATCCATCATTCATGATCTTCTTTTAAAAAAACATCTCAAACAAACATTGTTAACTTCCCATTAAAGTGACGTGTGATGAACTGGACTGAGACGTATTTTTTTTCTTTGTTTTGTAATTGCCTTCCCATTCCTCATTATTTTCATTTAATGTAATCCTGTTTATCGTGCCTTGAGTTTCTAGGAGCGCCTTTGCTCAAGCTTTTAGCCCACACCGCTCCTGCACGGGCTTTTGTTTACTCTTAATCCACATATATCTGAGTATATGTAGACGACGCATAACTGCATCTGCGTATGTGTATGTGAATACCTTTGTGTACGTATTTATTTCATAATAGCTGTATTTTTGAGTGTGCAAAATTTAACATTGTATGTACAGACGGTCAGGTTGGTTAACGCCCTCCAGAATCTGATCTTTATTGTGTATAATTGCGCTCATGCGACCATTATGTTTATGGCCTGATGTTAGCTTTATACTTCTTCCAATTGCGTCCACGCTTCAAAAATCATGTGAAATAACCCAAACTGATCAGACTCTGGCAGATCATTTTAGATAATAAATCTATTTTCTAATAGACCTTCTGTACAATCTAACTTGTTTTTGCAACCAGAGGAGTCGCCCCCTGATGGCCATTAGTAAGAATGCAGGTTTGAGGCACTACTGCATTGGCTTCACTTTTCAGAAGCGGAGGATGCAGCCTGATACACACACCAGCAGACCCTGAGCAGCATATAAGAGACGTCTGACAAATTTCCCACTTGGTTAGGTTTACGAAAATATCATGGTTTGGGTTAAAGTCACCCTTTTTGGAAGAAGGCCTGATGGCAAGCAGGAAGCAGTATGGTCTGGAGCTGCAGTTTTTTTGTATTTTATTTAACAACCCCTTCAGAATAAGAGACTTGCACTGCGATCCAAATCACATACTTTTTCTTTTTCACTCTCAGTAAATACTGCGCTGAGACATGCTACTTCACCACAACATTTCACCTTGAACTTTGACCCTCTTGCTCATATATAAACTGTGCAGAGGATTGTGGGTCAGAATAGCCAGAAAAGCATGCTGGCTTACATACTGCAAAATGCAACCGGGTGCAGTAGGACATCCTGATGTTTTTGGCATACTGCGATCCACTACCCATACTGTCATACTATTTATTAAGTATGTCCCAATAAATAGTATTCCAAATATATAGATATTCTACTAAATCCGGTTGCATTTTACAGTGTGCAAGCCAGCATGCTTTCTTAGCTATTTTGACCCACAATCCTTTGCGCAGCAGATATATAAGCAAGAGGGTCAAAGTTGAAGGTGCAATGTTATGATGAAGCAGTAAGTCCCAATCGAATGCATACTGCTTGCAACAGTATGTACTTTGTAAGGGCATCTGCAGTATGGACTATAAGTCAAAAGACAAACTACGAACGCAGCTGAAAGATGCTTCTGGCATACTTAACAGTATGGTGGTAGTAAGGGTGTTGGTATGCACACTTGATGTGCATGTGGTTTCTGCACGTGCTCCTCAGTTTTCATTTAAGTCTATGACGTATTGCCCAGGTTGGTATGCGAGCATGAAACGTCAGAGGAGTCCGCTTGCATCATGTGGGGAAACAGACTTCTCAGCTGGCACGATGACAGCGATGAGGTGCACCTGGTCAACTCGCAGCTGCTCACGCGAGGGCCTCTGGGGAAATAGAACAACTACTACTGAGTGACTGCATATGTAGGCCCACATTGTGTGTGAGTGTGAGTGTTCATTGACAACACAAGCTGAGTCATTCATGAGTGTCTGACTGAGAAAATCCACAACTGCCATATTTAATTTTTTAAGTGCCATTTAGGTCAGGAAAAGTTGTAACATGAGTTCACACCACCTTTAATGTGGAATTGACTTTGAAGTATGGGCGTTGCGTTAAAACAAATATTATATATATATATCATTATTTTACGCAGATCTCATTCTGTAGGGAGGCAAACCTTGGTATGAATCCCGAGTGAATACATGCACACACACACACACACACACACACACTAGAGGACCGCAGTGCACGCAAACGTAATTGGCAGGAGAAAAAAAAGGGGAGAAAACGCTTTGTGAGATGTTTGTGCGTCTTGAGCTCAGAGTGTCCTGTGGGACAGAGCAGCAGCAGACGTAGCCTACCTAGAAACAGTGAAAAAAGTAGAGCCATGTAATATTTATGGATCCAGAGTTGTGCGGGTGCCTCGGGTAAACGAAGTCGATTGACGCGCGCGTTAAACCAGCCGCATGTGATTTCTCAGTCATTTTGGCAGCACGATGCGAGAGAGAGAGACAGACACGGAGCTGTGAAACTGGACCCGCTGCCAGAGATGTCGACGGAGAGGAATCCCTGAAACCGCGCCGCTGCCCAGGAAATATGGACAATTCTTGTTTTATGTGCGAGTGCGGGCTGTTTTTTTTTTTTTCCCTGTCGGTTTTTCGCACATCGCTACAGAGTAGGCTATAGTGGACCAGGATGCCGTGTGGGCGATGCTGCCACAAGGGATACATTGTGATTTCGCCGAGATGTTTTAGCAACCGTTGCATATATTAAAATAAGAAAAAGCCCGTCACATGAGGGATTGGAGTCCAAAGGGATCTAATAAGACATCACCACCTGTTACTAGAAAATCAGGTAAGCCTCACAGACCTTTTTTTTGGGCTTTTACATTTACAATGTCTCATAATACAGTGTACGACGAACGTAATTATTATGCCAAACACCCATGAAACGAATCATTAATCCTTTTACAATGTACTTTTTTAAAAGATGTAATCTGCCTCAATGCTGCGCACCACGATTTATGTACCAATCACCTATATGATCCGATGCATAATAAAGCATCCCGTCATCCTATCAGTACGTTGTGTGCGATGCACTGAGCCGAACACTTCACTTATAATGGGCCTCGTGATGAAACACCCTTTCATTATTGTATGATTTGCAGAGGGGATATGTGGGCTTGCAGAAACCTTCACATTGCCTCAGTGCAGGTACGAGCAGCACCCGCAGTTCCTCCAGCCAGTGCAGTGGCAGCAGACCTCTTTTCACCCACAGTGCTAATCAGCAGCGTTAAAGTAATCTCTCTGCACTGGATGCCAGCAATCGACAACAAACCTACTTTTTTTGTTTTTGTTTTTAGAGGCTATTTTATTTCTTAAACGCCACTATTCACAAATTGCTCAATCGCAGCTTCTTCTTCTTGGAAAGAGCACCAAGGCGACGTCCATCTGTGATAAACCTGAGGAGTATTTCAGCTCAGCCTGCTGGTTCAGTGTGTTTCATTAGCCTCGCAGAAAGCTCCTGAATCCTCCAGTGTTTCATGAAATGTATGTTTTTTCTTTAACTGTAAACTGGCGTGGCAGGGTGCACTGTAGACAGGCTTGCTTTTTCGCATCAAAGGCTACAGGGTGACAGGCAATCAGTGCAGTTTGTAGCTGGAAGCCCACTGAGATGGAGAAATCAGACCTCACATCAGTGGTTTCTGTGCACATACAAGCACGCTGAGCTGAGCAGAGCTGGTCCATTCGCTGGTCATAGGTCAGGAGCAATCTGTTTGATGCACTGGAGGTCTCGCTTACAGTCCTCGTTCACGCATCCCCTCCCCCCAATTTCTGCTTATGTCCTAAATCACAAAGCAGTTCTGTCAAGTGACACTAGCGGAAAATCAGGCCTGATTGAAATGGTGTCAGCCATGTCCGGTCAATATGTCAGGTGGGAGAGAGAGAGAGAGAGAGGGGGCCAAGGACAACTTGTTTGAGTCCCTCATACTGTGTCGCAGTCTGAATCTGCTGATAGTTTGGGGGGTGGGGGGGCACTGTCACAAAGTTTTACCCGACACAATCCCGATCTAAAGCACGCCGGCATCGATCATGATCTGGAAACAATGTCTACACTGCACAACAAAGAGTTCCTCCACACTTTATCTTCCCTACTTAAGCGATCAATAATCCGCTATTTCTCCTGCAGCTGAATCCCATCGGGTCGTTTAAGAATTCGGACCAGTGAAACGTCTCCAAACACACAAGTGGGATAGCTTGTCCCCAAGGCCTTACTGGAAGCAGCGGATGTACACAGTGACATCAATTTAGTATGTTAACAAATTCAAAATGTTGTTGCACTCCCCCAGCAGCTTGATGTGTAATATTCAAGGCTTACACTTCCAGGACTCGAAGGGAAGCATGCATTCATCTTTTTAATGTCATGTGGCTCTATTCACTGACCTATTTTGATCGTGAAAAGGAGCGCTGTGCTGAAAATGATGCATAAAAAAACTTGACAAGGCTGGCAGGAAAAAAAAAAAAAAGAAGGAAAAGTAGCAATGAGTTCCAGGGGACGTAAAAGAAACTAAAGCATGATGTTGCAGATTTTTGTGCATTTATAGAAAACAGTTCCTCAAAATAGAGCGAAGATGTTCCTGCAGCGATTGTTCCATCTAAAGGGCAGCTGAGAGCGCCTACAGTAAGTCACTGTGAGGCTGGACATCTTCATCACTATCTAGTCCCAGAGCCCCGCAGCAGAGAGGAGAATGCATCACACCTGATGTTTCTGTGGGGCTTTTTATAGCAACTGTTTGCTCGACCATCCATACAAACTGCTCCAGATGTTGAATTCACCAAAGAAGCCATATGTTTTTTTTTTTTTTTTTTTTTTTTTTTTTTTTTAATGGCAGTGTGATGTAGGAGCAGCACAAATAAAACAAACAGTATTTATCTCTCTCAGAGAGAGCAGAAAAGAAATACTAGGGTCTGTGCCACAAAGTCACTGCCTGTCATGCAACAAGAAAACCATTAGTCCGTCTTGTCGGAGACTGATGGCTAATGAAGCGAATGCACACCGAAGTCTCATGGCGGGGAAGACAGAAGACACAACTCTCATTTATATGCGCCTCATATACCAGCCCATCTGATTTAGAGGTTCAGGACTGCAACACAGACCAGCGCACTGAAAGCCACACGGAAGTGATAACTGCCCCAAGTTAAAGCAATAAGGGGTTGAGATTACACGTAACGATTTACGATACAAGCGTGTTGCTTCACATACAAGTGACAAAAACCCCTCAGAGATAACATCTGTACCTCCAACACTGGATTCCTTTTCATTGCTTCACGCTTTTCAACGTGTAAATAACCCAGCCTGGACAATTTTAGGTCACATTTGATTAACGTGGAGAGTCTTATTCGTTAAGCTCTGCTGCCTTGACAAGCTTCGCAGCTCCATTTACGTGTGCACTGTAAATTGTTTTATTGTGTTTTCTTGGAAAATTTGCAATTCATTCAACCTGTGAATGGTAAAATAACCCAGAGCAGCAATTAACCCACTTCACAGTTTGTGCTTACGAGAGCAAAAACAGACTGCATGGCTGTCACGGTTTCTTTTTACTTAACAGTTGCGAACGCTCCACAAGCAGTTTAGCATTTAGGGCTGAAACAAATAGTAGAGCAACAGAAATGTGAATCGCTAACTGTTTTGTTTCATTTAAAGGGACAGTTCACCCGAAAATAAAAAAAAATACATATTCACCCTCTCACATAGTGTTTTTAATCGATCTGTATTGTTTGGGTGTGACTGTTATTTGTTGGAGGTATCAGCCCGAGAGATGTCTTCCTTCTCTCTGTGACTATGTGGCACTCTGCTTGGTTACTCAAGATAATCCACAGATCTTGTGAGCAGTTAACCATTGAGTTTATCGCCATTATATTGAAAAGAAAAGATGGACATCTCTACGGCCAATAACTTCAGAACTGGGCAACTCGCACTGAAACAATCTAGATTGATAAATACCATGACAGGTAAGAGATAAATATGTAGTTTTGATTTTGGGGTGAACTGTCCCTTAAGTTATTGAATTCAAGCATGAATGCAATATGTTTTCTGATTCCGGCTTTCAAATGTGGGGATTCGCTGTTTTCTTTTTCTGTTTTATCTCACAGTAAGTTGATTACATTTGCTTTTTGATCTTTTGATTCAACAAAAAAAAAGACATTTTTAAGACGTCACTTTGGGGCTCTGGGAAAATGTGATAGCCATTTGTCTCTATTCTTTTATATTTCATGGACTAAATGATTCAACTGTTAATCAAAACAGGAAAGAACAGAATAATGAAAATAGTCATTAATTGCAGTCCTTCGTATATGTAGTCATATTAGAGGCAGTTGTCTGATTTATGTCAGATTGTGCCTCAGTAAATGACCTGAAGAGAATCGTGCAAATCTCCAGGAATGAAAGCAAACATACGATCGTCATTTGTTTCTAACTGATCTTTTTATCTCCAGTAAAGCTTACCACCATTTAAGGTCAACAGAATCTATCATTTATTTCCCTAAGACAGTCATTGGTTTCATGTCAGGCAGTTTGAATTCATAAATAATTTCCCCGAGCAATTGTGAGACAGTTCTATATTTCCTTCATTTAAATTTAGTAAATGAGCAGATGTGTCCCTCCACTGTGTTGCTGCATTTTGACGTAGTCCAGCCTTCAGCAATATGCTGAGTTTTTTAATCCTTTCATGTACTCCACACACAGCACGGTGCCATTTCCAGGCCCCCAGGTCTTCCCCTGCAAGGGAGCTCGGGCCTCGATAGTTGAAATAGAAAAATGGCTCTACATCTATACATATAGTATAATTAAAAGATTGAATTATGTTATTCAGTGTAGTATGAAGGTTGCTTGTTGAGCCTAATTAAGACCCTCATGTAAGATAACATGCTTGACTTGCCCAATCCATTTATCCACAGGCGTTGCACCATTATATCACATGTTAAAGAAAAATCTAATTACGCAGCCCATCAGTATCAAACATGCAGCAGGACCACTGTCTTCTAGCTATACAGTTTAATATCCTGCGTATGTTCTGCTCCCTGATATCAGTTCAGGAAATGATTCTCACTGATTTAAGATGGCACCCATCTGATATCTGGAGGCTCCCTGATGCCAAAAAGCATACATCATAGTCAGGAAGGTCAAGAGCTCAGTCTATAAACGTGTCCATCACTAATTTACTCCTCTGCCTATCATTCATCAGCATCTGGCCTGCAGAGCTCCACTGGCTGTTGCCGGGACTCAGGTGTTGACTTACGAGGAAATGACAGACTTCTTTTTTGTGACAAATGCTCCAAATGAATTGAAAGCACGATGAGATACTCTTTCTATCTTGTCAGAACGATCCATCTTGAGTTTAATCTGAAAGCAAAGAAGGAGAGGCAGCGCCTCTAGTGGCACACAAAACAGGCCCAGTTGAATGCGAGATTACATTACATTACATTACAGTCATTTAACAGACGCTTTCATCCAAAGCGACTTACAATAAGTGTATTCAACATCGGTTTTCAAGAGAACAACTAGTCACCAGAAGTCATAAGTGCATCTCCTTTTTTCAAACAAGCATCTAAGAGCATAAACCAAGGCCACAGTATAGTGCAGAAACAAAACAAATGTAATAAGTGCAACAAACTAGTATGAATACAATAAATGCTGAGTAAGTGCTAAGTGGAAGGCTCAGGGTAGGCCTTCTGGAAGAGGTGAGATGTGCTCTGTAAATACAGAACTGTTCAAACAGCTGCCTCTTTACGCGAGCCGTTCACTGTGGGAGACGCTTCAGTTTATTAATGTGTCAGGAGTTGGCAGGTGAAGAGGAACCTGCACACCACACAAGTTTACACAATATTCTTTACGCTAAAGTCAATCAGAACTGAAATGAATAGTCAACTGAACTGCAATAGTTTTGCTTATCGAAAGGAAAAAAATAATTTTTTTGGTTCCAGCTGCTTAAATGTGAGGGTTTTTCACTGTAAATGGAATATTCTTGGGTTTAGGTCTGCTACTCCAGACAAAACACCACATTTGAAGATCTCTCCCTGGCCACATTTGGTGGATTTCTTTTCATGCATTTTCTGGCATTTTTTGGACCAAACAATTAAAGGAGAAAATAACAGGCAAATGAATCAATAACGAAAATAATCATCATCATTTGAGGCCTATAATTGCCTGAAAGTCCCACAGAGATGTACCTTTTTTAAAGGCATAAATGGCAAAAGAATCCACCGGTTTCAGCTTCTGAAATATAAATATTAGCTTTTTTTATTCTATGATGGTAAATTGCATATATTTGAACTATTTTGTTGTATCGGTCAGACAAAACGAGCAATCTGTACATGGCACTGTGGGCTCTGGGATTATTTGATCAACATTTTTCATTGTTAACTGACATTTTATAGCCCAAACCCTCAACTGATTATTATAGAAAATCATCTGCAGATGAATCAATAATGAAAGCAATTGTTAGCTGCAGCCCTAAAACCAAGTGAGGAATAGAAAAAATGTACATTTTCTTTCTTTGCCTCTCTTTTTCTCTCTGAATAGGGCGTATTGTATAGAACATCCACTTCTATCTGTTCCAATTATACACCTACAGTACATAAAACAAACAGACAAAAACAAACCCACAAGACAAACACAAAGCTACAGCTCTCAAGTTTGAGACACAAATAAGCCTCCAAATGTCCATAACGTTCCTACAAGGCCCCGCAACAGTCCAGCAACACTCTTTTCACAATAAGTAACAATAGATAACAATGACAAGGAAACGCAATGAAAAAATGGTGTTGTCACACGAAGAGCAGAAACCAACTAAATCTGTAACCTTGAACGAAATCTGCCAAACAATTCTGCGTCTCCTCCAGATCAAAAAGACCTCATGAATACGAAAGAAATTTGGAGTTTAGCCTCTCCAGAGTGAATTTCTTGGATGGTAAAAATCCTGATAATTGATCAGGAAATAACTCAAATGTTGGGGGAGTGTGTTCCTCTCAAGATGACACAAAAATAAGTCAAAAATAGAGAATCATAATTCTTCATTGTGTGTTTTGTATGAAAAGATTGAAGATTGAAAAGATGCACCCTAGACACAGAAAGGGGATCATTAACAACAGAGGAGGCTGGAAGCTTGCAACATAAAAGTCATAATGTTTTCTGCCATAAAATGAGCAGATTCTGTGAAATGCTGTCAGTGTAACGCCGTTGATGTTGAGCATGACTCTTTTGGGACGCCATAACATTTGAGTTGCATGATATCTGCTATCATCGCTCGTCAAATTTAAAAAAAGCTGAACTCCCAAGCACCACATGTGTCGGGTCAAAGAACAAGTGAACGGCACAGTAAGTGAAACCCATCTCCGGTAATAAAACCGCATTCGCTGGAGCACTCTCCAGGCAGCTGCTTCTCCTGCGTTCACAAACGGCCGTTCATCATCCTGTAGGAGCCACAGCTGTCCTCGGGTCTAAGAGATGGAGATGTCACGTTGCAATCTCCACATCATCCAAGGCAATCTAACTCTGCTCCTCTCGCCATTGTGTCAGAGACAAAAGCGTTATTTGAAAAACATTGGTCTGTAAATTGGTAGGATAGAAAATATCTGATGACGTGGTTGTAAAAGGACTTGCGCTGACTCGACTTAAAAGGCACACAAAAGGTTCGGTTTATTTAATCTGTGGATTCTTGCAGAAAAAACAAAAGGGGGGGAGGGCCCCGGTGCCCGACAGGATGTACGGGAGGGCACCTGCTAAGACAAAGTGCCAGCCTCGGAGCCTGGCCGCAGACATTTTTCAGCTGACCAACGTGAAGACATTCATTTTAAAAGCAGGTTCACAAATGATGTCAGGATCTCTCTTACATCCATTACAGAGCTGGCTCGTCTCCGACAGCTCGATGAGGGGAGTGTAGCGCCAGGCTGAAAAAAAACTGTGATCTTGTGCTTCAGATTGTATTTCTAAAGTCAAGGAAACTTCAGTAATACATCTGTGAAACACGCATACGTTCACATTTATACAAAATCAATGTTATCAATTAAAAATACATGGAACGATTCCACATATATTAGGTCCAATGAATGCAGTCTATTGCATCTTTTTTCACCCATATGTATTGGTTTTAATGAAATACTAGAAATATCTCTCAGTATAACACAACAGCACGACAAAACTACAGCCTGCACAAGGATTATGAAGTTGAATCTCTCACACAAACTAAACTTAAAAACCTTCGTGAGGGGAGGATTCATAGAACTGTTCTAACAATAAGCAGAATACTGTGTGTACAGCATTAGATCCTCGTAAATGTGTTGACTTGAGTTAACTTATTTTTTATTACGAGCAATGTTTAGACCGTATAGAGCATGACTGGCAGTACAACATTCAAGACGGCCTTAATAATAACAGTAAATCACATAAAACCTCTAATGTAAGTTAAAGTACCAAAGGATACAAACTGAATACAGTAAAATACACAAAATTACTTATATTTACATAGAATTTAAGTTAAAAAACGTCAGCGACTTCAGCTGTTAGCGTACTAGCAAGCACACAGCAGACTTGACAATGAACCGTAGAAAACAACCAAGTCAATAAAAGACAAAAAATATACTGTTTTCATGAGGAACGGGTTACAGAGTGTTTTTCACAAATGTGTCTCGTTTGCGGTGTGCGAGCGTGTCAGTCGGTAAAAGTTGTACGTTGACCTCGAGCGCCACTTCACCAACGTTGTAGGAGCCATTAGTTATGTCTGTGTATTGTGTATATTGGGAGCCTACCTTAAGTTGACCACGGGTGGCAGTGTGGACTAGTGTGACAGGTAAATTGTTTATGGGGCACAGGTGCAACAGACAGGCTAACGATGCATGGGTGACTGGGAGATCGCACGTTTTTTACCGCTCGCAAGCCACACCAGAGAGACACCGGGAAGATAAGTCATCATCTGTAAACCGAAAACCTAATTAATTGGATACCTCACCCCAAAGTGAAAGAGCCTGGAATCTCTTTATTGAAGCGAGTAACAAACATGATCTTCTCCCGCACCCAGCCGAGTGGCTATTGCTGGAATTAGTCACGTCAACCGCAACCTTTTTAATGTGACTTTCCAGCTGATAACAGTCAACGAACAGAGAATGAAACCTAAACGAGCTGAAAACATCACTCAAAAGACAACAGTCTCTGTTTAACAACCTGACGAAGAAGGCCAAGGCAGCAACAGAGGCTTCGTTTCGTGGCGGAACACAAACAGCTATTCATAAATGGCGGGATCGCAACCGAGGCGATGCATGCGGTGGCTGAAAAAAACGTTTTCACCGTATGAACAACTCGGTGCTATAAATAGCTCCCGCCCACCAGCTCTGAGAGTAAAAAAGGTTGAAGACCCCCGCTGTAGAAAAACAATCAACTCTGCGGCTCAACTTAAAGCTGGCGTCGAGCCAACAATGCCAACTAACAAGGAGGGTTGCTCAAGGCTGCACTATTGGAGCGTGATAAACAGAGTCATTTGTGCTTGGCATACATAAATGGAAGAATATGAGTTAATTGCGTTCTGGCATTCGTGCACATGAAATCCACAGGTTTCTTAGGAGTGAGGCGTTTGAGGGGATCCTTCATCGTGTGCTGAAGAATGGAATTCACAGTTCTGAGTTTGCTTTTGAATCTCCTTTTTGTTGCACCAGGTGCTTATTTGGGGAACAAAGCTTTGAGTTGCTTCTGATTCAACATCCCACGTACATGCGGTCACATTATATTGACATCACATTCATCTGTGTTGCTGGCAACTGTAGATTACATCTATTCAGTCATAGTCAGAAGCATTCAATCAACAATATTCAGCTCTCTTTTCGAGCTTCATTTTAAGACCGTTTGTTTGTTTGCGTTGAACAGCCGCTCCTCACCTGCAAAGGGGTTTTAGTATCAGAATGATACTGTAACTACATCTTCCTCCTGTTACTGCAGCACGACTACCGATCAGGGACCGCTGAGAGTGAAACCTCACTACGCGGTAGCCTCATCCTGCTCTTCGACACCCACAGCCAGCCAGGAGAGGTGACGGCACTGCTCTCCAAGTCCGACAGCCATGATCCGGGGAGGCCCTCTGCTGCGGCTTAGATCAGGGATCAACTCACCGCTTGATGGCTAGATCTCACCGTACAAAGCACTGGGGGCCTTTCTACTGAGGTCAGTCTCCGACTCCCTCTGCGGCACAGGTTCTATAATTCAAGTGTGAGCCATTTTTATTCTGCACTCGTTTTGTTGAGTCAAGTGGCAATCGTGTCTGATTACAACTGAGTGGAACTGGTTTGTGTAAATGAGGCTCTCACATAACATTTTTTCAAGGCTGTATACTTGTGTATCTGCTGGTATACAGCAGGTACGATGATTTAAAAACGTATGTGGCATGTAATGGTTGTGCCGCTCTTTTCTTTAAAGCCACAATAGGTGTCAGGTTGTCGTACTTAAACTGTGGTATATTCTCCTGCAGTGGCCCAGTTTTACCTCTGACAAGGCATCAGATATAGCAACACAGTTCAATTCTGGGAGCGGTGGATTCAGTATTGAAACATTTATTAGGGTACCTGGGTTCTCACCTTTGCTAATGAATTATTCATCATCGCTTAATGGTCTCCGGTATTCTCCCGGGATTGCTCAATGGGGATTTTTTTTTTTAAGTCGAGTTAGAAAAGGCACATATCTCGGAGTTATATGTGAGAAAGGCAGAACTATAATGAAAATGGGGATCCTGCTAACAATGCCAGTTTAAATCGGCTGTACGTTTTTTTGCTGCAGCGAGTTGGTCGTGTCATTAAGCAATTCTCTCCACGGACTAACTCTATCTTGTTTTCTCACCGTTGCAGTATCCCTCACTGCGTAGTAGCACATGGATTTCAAGACTTCAAATGAAGAGGTTGGTAGGATTCAATCAATGTAATATTCTGACAGTAAATTGACTGATTATAGAAACAGCCGTGGCATTTTCAAAGGCCTGAAACAACATCGCTGAAAGCATGCGGCCAGACAGCACATAAATCTGTGGCCCTGTGCATATGCAGCCTCAGAGGCTCCCCCTCCCCTTTCAATCCATCCATTGTTACACCTGCACAAATAACGCAATCAACAAGTAAACACATACAGTACAATGAAACAGGCTTCTTAAAGAGAAAGTCCAATTAGCCGCTGCTCCGTACAATTGTATGATGTTCTATTTCTTTTTAAAGTTATCACTATGTTTTTGTCTTGTTTTGTGTTCATAATATTTCGCTGTACAGTATTGTACCACTGTAATCCCCATCAATCTCCTTATCCGTGTAAAATGCAGTAAATTACTGATTGAAGGGACTTTCAGTAGCCGCTTTATGAACTCGGATCCTCAGTAACGGGAGGATGACGGACCTGCAGGTGATCCACTTTTCGTGGCTGTTTGTCAAACTGAGACCAGTGTTGCTTAATTTATCAGCAACCTAACACTTCTAGCAAGTTGCTTCCCCTTTGATTTATTTCTTTGTCCTGGCTTTCTTTGTTCTTCTTGTAGTCTTACATTTCTTTTATATGACATGACGGCTTCACCTGAAGTCTTTAGCATCAGCAAAACTCCAGAGGCCTTTATATTCTTTTAGATACAAGAAATAATCTGACACACTATTTAGTTAGCCAGAAGCAACGGTTTTCTAATAATGCTATTAACTTAAAAAAGTATAACTTTTAATACGATTCTTTATTTAAGGGCCTCCCTATTTATGTCCCTTGGCAATTAGTTCCACTACTCCAATCCCTTCTACTCCCCTGGGTTAGAAAGACTTATCCTCGTTGCATATCCTGCATTGGAAATACTCATGTGCACAATATCAGATTAGAGATGATGATGTAGATAATAATGGAGGGATGTTTGGAGGGGAGAGTGATAGATGAACATACAATAGGATCACAGATGAGGTTAATTATGTGCAATGCAAAGTGCTACAGCAGGTCAGACGACACTCAACCACGTGAAACGCTGTGTGACCCAGCTATATGCAATTATGGCACTACTGCCCTCATTTTGCTCGGCTAATGACTCTCGCACACACGTTACTTCAAATAATGTGAATTAATGTGCCCTTCATTTCTTTTCCAACGCTGCAGCTGCAGGCGGAGGCTCATTTCTTCACATTCCTAATTACGGGCGCAAGATAATATGCTCCATAAACTGAAGTTTGACCTGCAGTTGAGATACTCGAGCTAAGAATAGCGACCGTGCATCTGTCTTGTTAACTGATGAGCGGCGGATCCCAGGTGACAAGGACGCTGACACTGGTGTCTTTTTATTTTCTATTAGCAGTCTTGTCAGGTGAAGGTGCGTCTTTTATTCAGACCTTTTTAAGTCAAGGACAGGACAGGCATTGCAATTAGCCAGGGAGGTGGAAGGATACGCAGAATGCAAATTTATGCGGATTAGCACGTTTTTAAATGGATCATTGGAAACAGTTGCTTATGTGAAGCAGGGAAATTCAAATGTGGAGGGCGAGCTTGGTTCCAGCCACTTAATTTCACAGGTTCTTAATTTGCCATCATCCTCATCAGCGTTACACGTAGAACAAATTAGATGATATAATTTTTTCTCTCAGCGTGAATGTATCCAAAGCAACCGACTCATAAAAAGCTGCCTCTCGGAGGGTCTGCTCATTGTTTGAAAACATAAATCAGCAGTTGTGCTATGTGTATATATATATATATATATATATATATATACACAAACATAGGACAACTGCTATATATATAGATGTGTGTGTTTATTAATCAAAGTGCTGAATATGGTTATTTATTCCAACATTAGCATTAACAAGGAAAGTAGTAAAATAGAAAATAACAGACATCACCAAAGCTCTATATCCTAATTTCCATGTTCATCCTGCAGCGAGTATTCTGAACAGCATTTCATTTCATGGCCAGTTAATTTAGTCATGGAGGGATGATGAATGATTTTATCTTTCTGACTGTTCGCAGACAAAGACTGGGATTTATTTGATGCAAGAAGGTAATGAGGAGCCGTTTAGTATTCGACTGCACTTGGCCAAAGATATTCTGACCATTCAAGAACAAGATGTCATCTGTGTGTCAGGAGAGCCTTTTTATTCAAGTGTAAGTAACCCAGTCTGTCTCATAATCACTAAACGCCGCTGTGCCACACTTCACATGCTCATCTAACTCAACTGGAAGGAGTCTCTGTCTGTCTCTGTGTCTGTTCTTTGATTTTCTCAACAGCCGTTCATCCGATTGACTTCACACTTGGTGTGAATTGCTAAGGACCCGAGAAAGTGCAACCCTTCAGATCTATGGGACATATTTATTAGTAGTGCGTTATGTAAGCTACACACACACTGCGTAGTGTACTGAGAGGGGACCCCTATTAACTGTTACACCACCGAACGGCATGCTGGGTACAGCTTGCTTTCCGTCGCTTGCTATACTCCGGCTTTGCTGATCCAGCATTTGTAGCTACACCTACAAAAAATAATGTGCTGTAATTTTAAAATGGGGCTAACGGGAAGGGCGATGGATTAAACAAAATATGATAAATTAATTTGTCACATACTTTAGTAACGTCACGTCTGTAGTTACTTTAACCCAAACAATGATCTTTTCTTAAACCTAACTAAGTTGTTTTGTTGCCTAAACCTAACTAAGTTGTTTCCTGTGAAGAAGGAAGTTTATGCATGTAACGAGCAGAAACTGACACATGTTGCTGGCTTTCTTTACAATAAATATCATAAGTTGTATGATGATACGTTGTTACAGTATGTTCAAGAACAGATGAAAAAAGAGAGACCGGAAATCTACGGGACGTATTTATTACTTTTTGAAGCCATAAAATGATTGTGTGCGCTATTGCACCCAAATTATGTCGTGTATATATTATACTCTAGCATTGCTAAGGGATGCATCGTGTCATGGCAGGTGTGTTGCTCAGAAAGCACAGTATCAAGTGTGAAGTGGTTTGGATGAGCGGTTCTTGAGAATACCAGCTCGTTTAAACAGGCCTTGCACTATAGTGCAATGAAATCAGTAACACGCACTGCACAATACATGAAGGTTACCTCTCTGAAAAGGGAATTATTCATTCAGTAATGTTGCTGTATAAACCCTCAAAGATTAACAGAGGAAGCACTTGTGTCCTCTGAAACATGATGACTAATTAACGTAAAGCGAGAAGACATGTTACATTAATACAACAATAGCATATAAGGTACTCCTAGTGAAGACTTCCTTAGCCTCGGAGACCAATTTACACTTATACATTTTAAAAGAAAGCGTTGACTTTCTGCACTGTCGGCACTAAATATGTTGAAATGTAGAGTCAGGCACCAACTTCCCAATATGATACAACAACATCTTTATTCTAGAGTCACAGGCAGCAACAACCACTAAAGGAGTCAAGTCACAAATACCTGCGACAATTACAGAATGAATAATTGTAAAAATGAACAAACAAAAAAACCAAACATCCCTGATGTGAGAAAAACAATTTCTCTCAAGATCCATAGACTTAAATAGAAAGTAGACAAAATGAATTATCTGTTATGAATAAGATAAGTTGAAATAGAGATGTTGAAATAGAGAAGGGGAAGAGGATTGGACAACAACCAGTCCAAAGCTCACATCTTGTAAATAAGTCTTGCTATGTTGTTATTGTTTCAGGTTTTTGTTACTTTTTTGACTGGTTGTTGAAGCTTGTGGCTCAAAAATAAAGATGTTGTTGTTACATATTGGAAATTCCCTGCCTGGCAAAGGTCTGCAGTATGACTGAAACATTGCATTTTCTATAAACCTAGTGCTGACAGCCAAGAAAAGAATCAACTTTATTTTTGTCATTTTACATTTACCCACCACTACTTTGTCAAAACTGTCTTACGTATAGGCTTGGATGTATAACAAACAAGAAAAGTAAAAAAATATAATATTGCATTATCACTGCTTCCTACTTTATGTGTGATTCTTATTGAAAATACACGATACTGTGTTTTTATGTTTTTTTTTTAATCTTTCCCCATTTGAATTCATTGTTGTTTCATTTGAGTTCTGACAAAAGCAACCCTCCCCACTTCTGTTGTAAGAGCTCCCACAGGTTCAGCATCAGTCTGAACTCATTTCTCGGCTCTAACTGAATCTCTTCCAGGAAAGGACTGTAACGATCAGGAGGCAGACAATTGGAGGGTTTGGCCTGAGCATCAAGGTAATGTAGATCCCATCTGATTAGGCTGCTCGTCCCAACTGCTTTAAATTAAGTCCGAACAAGTGTTATTGATCATTTTCTTGTCAAACTGAAATAACAGAGTTAGCTGAGGGATTTGAGTCGGGGAAAATTGAGTTGCTTTCGAGTGTTTGTGTTTCTTTTGTTCATCAATGTAATGTGATTTGTCCTTAGGGTGGAGCAGAGCATAAAATCCCTGTTGTAATATCAAAGATATCAAAAGAACAAAAAGGTATGCTGTTGTTTTTGCAAAAGATCTACAACTCTTTCTATTTCCCTCCCTTAGTTTGTTGTTACTAAAGTGATTTTTGTTATTTCCAGTTGAGCTCTCTGGGCTGCTTTTCATTGGAGACTGCATCCTTCAGGTATAATGCCAAAGCTCTTGTTTATACACCTCATCCTACTCTGCAAAATAACACACACACTGTCTTTTTAATAATTCATGAGCCACATGTCCACAAAATTGCCTCCCCATAGATACATTTCTCATCCCCAATCTTTCATTTATTACATGTAATCCACAAAAAAAGAAAAACTCTCTCAGCGCATCTGATGCAGTGGAAACATTTACAAGGCAGCCAGAGACGCTCTGTATTCATGGCGACTGTGGTTGTGACTCTCTTGTTTACAGTTTTCAGCGCAGATGCCATAACAGTTATTATGCTTTCCTCATTAATCATTTTGAAGATGGAAGTTACAGTGATGTGATGCCAGCAGTATTATTTAGGGTAACCCTGTTGCTGTTGTTTCCAGATAAACGGAATAAACGTTAGAAGTTATCGCCACGAGGAAGTGGTAAGCTGTCATCTCATATCTCATATTTTGCAACGGCGCACAGCAGCAGCTCTTTCAACAGCTTATCTTGTCTCACTTAAGGATTTGTATCTTTTTGACATGTAAAGCCAATTGTTTCTGTTTCATGCTTCTTTTTTTTTTAAATGTAACTGCAAGAAATGTGTGTGTAAGTCTGTGTAAATCTCTTATCTTGGATTTCCACTCTTAGAGAGACGTTAGCGCAACATGTTTCATTACAGCGAGCGATCGGCAGAAAACCTCGCAGTTCTCAGCTTCTGCAAAAAAAAAAAAAAGAAAGATATTCCTGGCGTTTTTACCTTCCAGGTCCAGGTTCTGAGAAATGCTGGTGAAGAAGTGACTCTTAATGTCTCTTTCCTAAAGAAGACTCCAGCCTTTCTGAAACTGCCCCTGTGTGAAGACTGCACATGTAAGAAACCTCTACGCACACTCTCTAATTAAAGTACAGGCCTATAATTAACGTTACCGCACTTCAAAATAATGAATCAAGAGTATTTATAGCTGGTATTCATTTCTTAATAGAATTGGTTGTCCTGGTGACAATAAACTGTAATGAAGAGCCACTTTGAGAATAAAAAATATAAATTCAGTTGTTTCACTTTGCTAAAGATAGGAAGCGAGAGAGAGGGGGGAGATAAAGACTAAACTGAAAGAATTGACATTGCCCATTGTGGTGCAATTGATTGCTCTTTGCAAAGGAGAGCTTCAGCCTCGTCAACAGACATGAAAGCTTTCATAAAATCCTTTCATACGCGTATATAGGCCAGGTTGACTGGCCATCCAACCAGACAACTGAATACAAATTGGCACAGAGCAGGAGCCCACACTGGAGGAGAGAACAAAGTAACACACTTCTGTTGATATCCGTGATCTACTGCAGTTGGAAACCTTGAAATCGATGGTGGTGTTGCTCAGAGTTTGGAGGGTTCATTGGCTGTTTTTTGTGTGCGTGTGTCCCTGCTGTACATTCAGGCATCCCCAGCGACCAGAGTAGTGGGACCTCCTCTCCTCTGTGCGATAGCGGCCTGCACTTAAACTACCATCCTAACAACACGGTACTTTATTCATTAGCTTCTTATTTGACTGACTGATTCTATAAATGTCCCTCTGTAACCATGCAGCAGCGTACCCGGTGCCAGAAAGTTGTTTCCATGCAACTGTCACTGCTCGCTGATAATCGGGACGCTCTATCTTTATCTTTTGTGGAAGGTGAATCAGCCTTCCTCTGCAGCACGCGCTCACCGGGCCTGCCTGTGCACATGCAGCAACAACAGCAGAGCTCTCGTATGTCGATTGTTTGAAATGTGCAAGGTGGGAAGCGACAAGCTCCTCTAAATTGCGTTTCACACTTCTGCAGGACACGCTGTCCTGCTCGTCCTGGCCCACGTCCCCGGGGCTTCGCTGGGAGAAGAGATGGGTGGACCTGCGCCTTATTCCACTGCTTCACTCACGCCTGTCGCAGTACAACCCGGGCTCTGACGTCTGCAGGTGAGCTGCGGGAGTTCATCTTGAAGGGTCAGTGGTGTCAGTTCTCACTTGCAGAGCCGGTTTCTCCCTGTAAGGCTCTACAGGCCGGCAGTGCGAAGATCTCCTACTTGTTAAGTGCCTAGGGGTTTTCAAATGGAGCAGACTGCCATCCTTCATCTGTAACAAAAAGCCTATTTAGTCTATTCTCTTTCAACACAATCAGATAAGCAAAATATAGTCTGCAGTAGGACAGATACTGAACAGTGGATGCTCGACTTAATAAGCCATTTGGCTGTCAATAAATACATTTTCATTTTGCTACACTGGATGATGGAAACAGCAATCTAGTGGATTGTCTCTTAATGGTTTGGCACGTTTTAGCCCATTAACTGAAAATTGCATATGGGTATTACACGGTTTTAGATTGATTGGACATGAAGTGGGTAATAGTGTTCACTTTATCTTCGGATCTTTTAGCACATCAGACTCAAAACATATCAGAGTAACAATTGTTTGCGTTATTATTTTTATTTTAGTTATGGAATTGTGAGTAGGCTGACTTGAAAATCATATATTACATTAAAAGCAGCTATGATCATAATTTTTATGATCACGATATATCAGATGACAATGTGAAAGGGGTCGCTCATGGTGATGAACCATCTGAGAATTATCGCCTGAATTTGCAGCTCCCCTTACATTTCCGGAGCTTTATAGTGTTTCAGCTCATTGTTTAGCTGTCCGGCTGCAACGTCTCTGTTTTGGTTCTCTCTCACCACTTTCATAGTGTGACTGCATCAAAAGCTAAAAAACCTACAATACACTACCTGTCAGTACCAGACAGCCGTTAGAACCAACTGGTGAACATAGTGGAGCAGTTAGCACTTAAAAAGACACATTTTTCCCCATTCAGTCGGCCAGAAACACGACTGGATGTGTAAATAAGCTGCAAATAACTGTTTGCAGACAAGTTTGCTATGTCAACCTAAAAGGGGATAATATGTCAGTGTTGTGTTCACATTGCACCAAAGTGGCCAAACAAATCTGTTATTGCAGGTCCAAAGGAATTCAACATTTATTTCCAGACACATGAGTCCATATACTTTAATTGTTCAACATGTTTGTGAAACACTTTTTTCTTACTGAGATGTTAGATGAAAAATGTTACGTGTGAATTTTCAAAGTTTCTGCCCAGAGTTTTGCATGCTGGGACGAAATGAAATGGAATAATTGCTTCGACCACCCGAAACTAAAGTAAAGTTGAGAAAGATTACATATCGCAAGTAAGTTTCTCATCCCCTACTGATATAAATGGAAAGCGATTGCTTCCTTGAGCATACTAAATCAATGAAAAGAGTTTCGTTATGTAATTTGTAGTTCATCAATGCTGAATCACCCCGTAATCTTTTTGTTTTTCTCTTAATTCTTTCAGGATAAATGCTTTCCAAGTCATAGCTGTGGACGGAGTTTGCAGCGGAGTTATACAGTTGCCCACAGCGGAGGACTGCTTGGACTGGCTTCAGGCAATAGCCGGCAACGTTTCCGGTCTCACCAAGCACAATGTGAGTATGAAATAATAACCCGTGTTAGCCTCTCGCTGTCCCCCGTGTAAGCCAATAACATGTTGGGTTGGGAGTTGATGCAGAAGAGTTTCAATTTGTCTGAGATTCCCTTTTGCAAATGTCACAGCATTAAGTAGACACACACTAATGTCTTTTCACTCTATAAGTAAAGTACACACTTATTTCTACGAGCCCAGGGTCACAACAACAGCAGTTCCGCTGCACTTACTCCCTCCAGCCAAACCCATGCACTTATTATCTATAATTCAAAATAATACGTTGAACAATAATGATAGCAAAAGGCAGCAAGAAACAAAGAAATAACAACAGTGTTGTGTCTGTCTCTTGTTGTGAGCCTATTGTCGGGGGGAAAAAAGCCAAAGCGTGTTTCCAGATGGGTGATGCTGCTCAGCGAGATGGGAGAGGGGTCAAATACAAACACTGCTAACAAGCTCCATCATGTGCAGTGAATCATACAAAACCCGTCAAGAAGTGTCTGATTTTGACACATTTATGAGCATATTTAGGTGTATTTCCAATCAGCACACTATATGCTACATATTGTAGAGAGTCTGCTATCTAGAAATATGTAACCAGTCAGTATAGAGAAGATGAATGCGACATGGAGGGAAAACAGGGATTTGTAATGATCATGTGTCCACTGGCGAGGCTTTGTGTGTGTGTGTGTGTGTGTGTGTGTGTGTGTGTGTGTGTGTGTGTGTGTGTGAGAGAGAGAGAGAGAGAGAGAGGGTCTCCAGAGAATAATGGAGGCCTGGTTAATTGGAGTGGATGAAGTGAGGGACGTACTGAACATTACGCTGATCACTCACTGCCAGAATGGCCTCAACAATGGAGAGAGCATTTCTCATTCTCTGGCCTTTGCTTTTACTGAGGGGTGTGAGTAAACTATAGCAACCTAGATGAAGGACATTAAGATTTCTGATGAAAAAAACAGATGTCTAATTGAAAAGGCACTATGATATCGATACCGCTGACCCAGTAATGATGTTGATTATTAATAAGCTTCAGTATTTCTCAGATAAGAACCTGCATTACTTTTAAAAAAGGAGATTGTTTATTGTCTATGAGCTAAATGCTAACGTTAGCATGCTAACAGGTATAATGTTTACCGTGTCTACCATCTTAGGTTAGAGTGTTGGCATGATTACATTTGCTTATTAGCACTAAACACAAAGCACAGCTGAGGCTGATGAGAATGTCATTAGTTCTGCAGGTATTTCATCATAAACCAAAGTATTGGTCAAGCATAGATTTTGTCCCTGGCTGAAAAGTGAAGGAATCACCAAAGCTATAATCTAAGCTAAGTATCATCAATCATGGTGGCATTAAAGGAAAAGTCATGGAGGATTTATCTTCCTGTGACTTTAAATGTCCAGTAATTGTTGAGATATTTCAGTCTGAACCAAAGTGCTGGACCAATATAACAGATATAAGATGAACTTTTATTCACTATCATTCAACTAAATTGCTTCAATCAGGGTGTCAATTATAACATAATATTTTATTATTTCATATTTTGTACTCCAAATATAACTATTTTTTAAATGTCTGTGTCTTATACACATATAATGTGTCTTTTGATTATTATGTGATTTGTTTGTGTGCTTTATGTTTTAATTTCACTTCTGCTCAATTAATTGCCCTTTTGGGACAAATAAAGTGATTTTATTGATTGAATTATTAGGCTTAGGATCAGCCAGAGTCCCTCAAAGACCTTAAAAAAAAAAAACTGTAAAACTAGAGAATATGTCAGGGGCTTGGTTTAGCAAGTGTTCACCTGTTTTTCAATATTCATAGATAGACTTCTTTTTTTTTTTTATTAGAATGATTAAGCCCCACTTGTTAAATCGGAAACCTTACAAATGAGATGTAGAAATGGACAGAAATGATAAAATATAAGAACACCAGGAACATAATTAAGAGTAAGATCATCCTTTGCTTCAGTCTTTCTTTGATAGCTGTCATAAAATTTAAGTTTGTCGTAAAATATTTCACCATTTGTCTTGAACAAATGCCGTTAAATTACTGGACAGGAAGATGCATCAATGTTATACTTTTACAATTTGTGATGAAATGACACTGTATATACCAGTCTGAATCTCTCAAGTGTTATCACAAAATATTACCTTGATATTGTACTCTAAGTACACCAATAAGTAACAATCTTTTTTCAAATGACATGCTTTGCTTGTTGAGTCCTATATTATATTATGATTTGGTAAATAAATCATAAATCATATGCATAATAGACTGTGTCTATTAAGTCCCAGGTCCCACCACAGACGGCCACAGAGCACATCAATAACACATCAGTCTCTTATCAGATGACTCATTTAGGCCAATTAGGAGATAATGCTGTGATGTTTCCTCAGTAATTCCGTTTTAAATACAGACGTGTTCACTTCTTCACTTTGACTTGAGGAAGACCATCTGTGGTTGAAACACATCAGTCATGTCTGCATGAAATAAAAGCAGTTTGTCTCGGGGTTTTTTTTCCGTGTGCATAATTTGAGTCTTTATCAAGGCCATGGCTTCAGAGAGTCAAGTGGAGGCGTGGCTGCAGGAGCATTTAGGAGCGGCAGCAGACCTGGGACCAGCTTGTCTACTGGACAGAGTCCCCTGTGCTGAGTCAGTGCTGATCTACCTCATGGATGCATAATAAAATAGATAAAAGTAGAGCGATGAATACATCCAAATGTGATGGAATAAAAGCAAGGATTTTTCATTAGTAAAAAATATGCTGCACAACAATTACTCAAAACATTACTTTAGGTACATTTCACCTCCAGTGAAAGTTCTCCTGCGTGTATTTTTGGACTGACTTGTTGCCTGATTTGTTGTGAAAGTTAAAGAACTGGACGCCACAACAGTTCCTTGTTGGTGTCAGAGGTGGGTTAGGACCTGCTGTCGCTGTGGGCGGTCACAACAACCAGCAGCTGAATGTGAACAAACCAACGGTCTCTGCTCTCAAATAGCCAAACCCGGCTCACATCTTGACAGTTATATCTGGCTGTTTCGTTTCAGTTCCTCCGCTGGAAAAACCCATCTCAACCCAAACATTTCGAATAAAGCAGCAGTGACTCGCCTCTATAGGAGGACGGGTTCAGGTCTGGACGGCTTAATTTGGTGTTCTGCTGCTAAGAAAGAGTTATATTGATAGTACGGTATAGGATTAGGAGCAAGTGATACCTGTGATCTGAGCAGAATGTTTTAATTTAAAGCTTGACTGCTCTCTCGGTAGTTTCCCCGCTTTTATTATCACAGAGAGAATGGATTTTTTTTAAATGGATTTCTTTTTTTCTTTTTTTTTTTAGGAAGAGCCTTGGGTCCTTGTGGAAATGACTATCTATCTCATTTTGTAATTTGCATGCATTGAATAAATGAAGTAGCTCTAACAGTATTCATTCAGTGCTGTGGTTAACATGTTAGCACAGATACAGTGATTCATGGTTTATTTGTTTTTAACACAGTCTCCATGGGGTCCCACACCTATTTGATATTCTGCCAGTAATTGGTGTCTGATTGTTAGCAGAAGATGTTTTAATGAGATATTGATGTTCTTGTTAAATTTAACAGGTGAAGAAGATTAACCGAAATTTTCCAGTTAACCAGCAGGTAAGACGTTTCTCCAGGCGGCAGTTGAGCCCCTGCTGCTTGTTTAGATTTTATTTTTGCTTGGGCTGACTTTAATTTGTGCATTTTATCCTCATCTTGTAACTTCACAAGTAAATCTAATCAGGTCAGCCAGTCACAGAAAGGGCACAGTACAATCTTGCCAACTATTGCAACACGAGGAGAATGTTTGCATCATTAAAACCCATCCACTGAGAAATGATCAGAAAACAACCGGAGTGCCTTCAGTTAACTTACAGTGTCATCTCTCAGTCTGAACGTGGGGACTTAATGCGACGGTGGGGCTCCTTTTTTGTCACTAATTTATTTTGGTTTGTGCCGCACGAAAAACATGTGAATTCACTTGACAATTCTTTTAAGAAAGAACGCGGCATGAGACGTGACTACTTGTCCCGAATCTTTCACTCGCTTGTTTTGCCATCAGTGAAAAAACTCCAAACAGAAAAGCAAGCAAACATTTTACTTTGGTAAAGAATTGAATGAGTACTGATGTTGAGATAAACTTGATTTTTGAAATCACGTCTCAGAACATTTGCTTTACTTTCTTCCCATCTGTTTTTTCCTGAATACTTAACTTTCATGTGGGCAATATGACAATAACATACTGTTTATACTGTTTAGCTACGTCTTAAGTACCTATTGTTACAAGAGTGACAATATTGGATTTTTACCTGAATGGTTTATCTTTAAAGCCCCTGAGAGCTTTGTTTCACAAGTATTTCTCAATTAAGTTGAATATTTCTGACTTAATAAGCATCAAGTTAACATTTGGAGAGGACGTTTTTTTTTCTTCAAAAGTTTGATACTATTAAAGCTAGAAAACCTGGTCTTGGGCAATATGTGGAAACGGTAAAGTTATGTTAATTAATTAATCACATACATGCTAAAACAAAAGACATTTTTATTGTTGAATAACAATGTTTCATTGCGTAAATCCTTTGAACCAATGACATGATTGCTGCACGCATGCAAGCTTATAAAACCACGCAGAGACTCTTCAGTATCCTCTAAGAACAGTCTTCACCATGACACCATGCATTTTATTTGGTGTTGATCCTATTGATGCAGTATTGCCTCTGAAAACAAAGCTTAGTATCAGTAGTGTTGATACTTCACCCCTTAACAAAAGCGGCAGAGGAGAGAAGCATTATGATATCGTGACATAAATTTACATTTGAGTTTTTTCCGTATCCACCCCAACTTTTGCCTATGATCCCTTTTATACATTCCACATCCCTCACACGTCTCTTTTTCCCTGTTTGACAGATTATCTACATGGGCTGGGTCGACGAGAAGGAGCAGGACTCCGTTCAGGACCGAATGTATTCACCAAAGTTCCTCGCTCTGCGGGGCTCCTCACTCTTTAAGTTTTCAGCACCTCCTGTAAGTTTTCACTTGATCCCCATTTGTTTTGACTAACTTCCTCTTTAAACCATCAGAAGTACGTGTTTGAATTGAATGTCGTTGAACTCTGCGTGAAATTTTTCATATCGCGTTAATGTATTGTTGAAGGAGAAAATGTTTTCCTGTTGGAAAGAAAAGAAGGAAGCAGCTCACTCATAGTCCTTTGTGCTGCATTGATCTTCCTCTTGATTGATGATGATCATTAAATCTGTTTACATTCTGCCAGCCACTTACGTGATTATGACAAGAAGGATAAGCTGTTGATGGTGCTGGAGATGAGAAAAGATTGATAGAAAACTGGAATTGCCCGCTCAACTTGAATGTGCTCATATAAATGGGATATGCTAATGTGAGTGGATGGTGGTATATAGAAGCTTGTTCAGGCGATGTGACAAGCTTCTTCATCACGAAAGACTAGTTACTTACAGTTTAAGGAATATTTCCCCTCAAATGGCAGGATGACAGTTTTGAAATCCACAACGTTCATTAATAATTGACCACTGGCTAAACCCCGCCCCCAAGCTTAGCAACTGTAAATAGGCGCTGGATGTATAAAGAGAGCGACAGTTTGACAGATTGGGTTGGTTTCCGCCCAGTTGGGCTACTTTTGATTAAGTTGAGGTGTGGAAAAATAGCGGGGTTTGAAAAATATTGTGAAAACAACATTAGTTAACAAGCTGTCATTTTATCATTAACAAGCTCAGATACAAAATTCAGTGTACTCCACAGTATTGATTCATTGATTTTGAGAAATATTTGATTGACATTAGTTGTATTCAGTCGTATTTCAGAATAAGAGCGGACCTACTTACCTTGACATCATTATCAATGACATCAATCTGTGTTGTCGGGTTTAGACAACGGTAAATTGTAATTCTATTTGAAAGTATTTCCATCGGTTCGCTTGAAGGGACAGTTCTTCTGCTTTATTTCCCTTTTCAATTGAGCTATAGTCTTCTCATCAAAATGTATGTGACATTTTTCAGGTGACAACATGGGACTGGACCAGAGCAGAGAAAAGCTTTACTGTGTACGAAATAATGTGCAAGATTTTAAAGGTAAGGCAGCCGCTTCGGTTCCATTTCTTGAGCATTCAGAGAAGCAACCCCTCGCACTGGATGCATTGAGAGAATATAAAGCAGAAAACTGAGGAATGCACTTATATAACCCACCGATGTATTTGCATGTCTTCTACTTCAATCCCACAGACACTCAAGGTTCAGATTTCATTGTTCACTCTCCGCAGGTTGGAGGTCATTCTGAATTTTATTGTGAGAATTTATCTGCAATTTATTATCTCAAAAACTCAGGATGGCAAATTTGATTCATATAGATTCACACCCGTTACACAATACTATGAACATTGCACTGTTCAGCTTGCATTTAATATGCATTACATTCATGTAAGTGTTGATTATATGGAGTAAAATAATTCAAGTGCTCTTAAAGCCACAGTCTGCAGTCTCCAGAGTAAATAAACCTCCCTTGAGCTTCAGGAAACTGCATTGCTGTTGCTTTGTCTTATCTCCGCGTCACTCTGCCCATCTGTACCTGATCAGCATGGCAGCCGTACTGTCTTATCTTAGGATAATGACCTTCTGGACAAGAGGAAGCACTGCTTCAGCGTCCAGACGGAGAGCGGGGAGGACATGTTTTTCAGCGTGGAACTGGAGTGCGAGCTGCTGATCTGGGAGAAGGCTTTTCAGATGGCCACGTTCCTGGAGGTGGAGAGGATACAGGTGCCCGAACAGTAGGGAGCGTGAAAGGAATTGTGATGATTTTAATCTAGCGCACGGTTCCAGCTCAGTCGTTTTAGTACAGAGATTGATAACACTCTTATGATATTTTCAGCAGGAAATATAGAGGCTTTTGTGTCCTTGTGTAGCTCATTTGGGTAACATCTTGTTCTCCCGTTCTGTAGTGTAAAACATATGCCTGCATCATGGAGAGCCACCTCATGGGACTAACAGTGGACTTCAGCATGGGCTTTGTCTGCTTTGATGCAGCTTCAAAGGTGAGTGTCAGACTTTATCATCAATAAAAATATGGAAGAGAGGATCTTTCAGTGGGAGATACCGTATTGTACACAGTGTGATGAAACTAATCACGAGGCCTCAGCCTCTCTTTTTCTTTTTTTCTAGTGCTACTTACTTATTCTGCACTGTGTGCATTTTGGGAGTATGAGCACATTTGTTTTGACGGCTGGTTCCTCACCCCGGCTCAAAGCTCTCACTCCCTCCCGCAGTTCATTTTGGCCTTTCCCCAGGTCTGAGAGCTGTGCAGACTACTCCACATGTGCACATTATGTGGATGAGCAGGACACCAGACACTGCCATATTGTTCTCCAAGATTTTGGCCCTAGTTCCTGCAATGTGAAGCAACAATGTCTCCCAAAGACAATACAAATGTTGCCAGCGTATTGTTTATGGAGAGAAATGCACAAAACACAGTCCATGTGTAAACTGCAATCGCAGACCAAACACTGGCGGTATTACTCTGTAATTAAAAGCTGCTATTGGCAAACTTCAAAAAGCATGTAAGAATTAGTGTCAACCAGAAACAGCGCGGGTATAACTCTGTGGAGATGCATCTGCTGGCTCATGACCCAGTGAGATGTACCATGGCTCTATTTTTGTTTTGTCTTTTTATCAAAATCAGCAACGTTACTTTATAAGGCACACCATGAAAAAACAAAACATATATAACAAGGATGACAGTATGATCAGACATGTATTTCATCATTTTTTACAATATTTAAAAGCACACAGCACAGCTCTGAGTTTGACCGACTGTGGTCTTTCTGTGTTGACTTTGCATGTTCCTCTTCTCATGTGTGTGATTTCCTCTGACAGTCCAAAGACATGTGGGTTCCTTTAGCTGCTGTCGGTGTAGATGGGGGACCTGTCCAGCGTTAAGATCTCTCTAAGACAGTCTCTGGCTCACCCAGGAGTAGAAGTAGCAATACCACACTGGGAAAGTATACAAGTAAAACAGGGTTCCCACACATCCTGTTGTCATTGAAAACGCCTCATGCATTGTCCTGGAATATGATTTCAACATTCATCCTTGAGCTGAAAATAAACAACTAGGCTAAAATAATTCACAAACTACCATTTGAACGTTAATATAATCCTGAACATAAATAGATAAACAGGCTGCTCTCAGTTATGTTGTGGAAGCGCTGTGAACCCCCCCCCCCCCCCCTCCAAGTCTGGTCGCATTACCTAACGTGGCTTTCTTCCCAACTTGTTTCGAACGGTAGAATAAAGTGGATGAGTCATTTCTAAGCGTGTAAGAGATGATTTCATAGATCCTTTATAGCCACAGACTGCACATCTTTTATATCAGACTTCTACAGAAAGGAACATATTAGTGTATGCAGTGATTCATGTCATGCCATGCTAGATCATCACTGGAGAAGTCCTGGAAAATGATCTCTAGAAAACAGTGGGAAACCCTGCAAAAGACCAGCATTCACATTTTTGCTTGATGGCTTTTTTTTCTTTATCAAAATCAAACTTTGATCAGATTTGAAATCAAAAGGCCACTCGTGCACCAGAGTGAACATAAGCAAACACAGCCACTGTGGATTCAAATATTCTGGCATTTCTGTGCTTTATTTAGCAAACAAGGAAATCCTCTCTTGCTCTGGTAAAAAAATCCCAGATGCATGCTGGTCCTGTACAAAACCTGAGCCTGGTGCCCATAGTGCTGATAATTCTTACAAAACATGATAATCTAAACAAATACCAAGCAAAAGAACACACAATACCTTACTGCATACTTATAAAGCGAATATCTCCAACAAATCAAATACTCAAAACAAATAAAAAGGAGCTCCTACAATATCTAATGTAAAAATGCTTATTATGCAGGAGGATGGCCGCTGTCAGTGTTATATCATTGTATATTATAATATTGAATACTGACTGCTCCATTAATGTTTAAGACTTTAGAGTTTAATGGAGCTGGTCGAAGTGAGCTAAATTATCTTAATCCATTTATTGTGTTCGCTGATTTAATCTATAGCAATGTATCAATAATAATTGTATGTGAAATCCTAATATGTTGAATAAGAAGTACCTGTAGCTGTAGTGAAATACAGTGAGTATAGCTCTTTCTAAAATATAGTAAAGTAGAAATATAAGATAGCGTAACACCTACTTTAACTGAAATAAATCTGAGCAGAGATCTCATGAGACTTTAATCCTATGAGGAAACAGAATGAACATTTTTCCATGCGCCGTAGGCCACAGTACAGATATAATACTACAGTAGGTGCTTGTGATTGACATGAAGGAGGTGGTGATATCGTCACCTCTGTCAGAGTCAGAGTGGGTTTTAAAGGAATGCTGGAGAGGTGACACTCTTCCTGTTGCACTCTGATGTGTCTGCTCTGATTTTGAATTTTTTTTTTTTGTGTGTGTGCCAAATAACACTGAGACTTCTTGTGTACGGCACGTTAAACATTATTTCTTATGCCGTAATTAATCTGATTGGTGTCACAGTAATAATAACAGGGGCGGGAACAGTTACAGATACATATTCATGTAAAAAGTGCGGCCAGCTGTCTACCTCAGGAGTCGGACTGGCTCACTGTGCAGCTTTTTGTTTATTCAGTTAAATTGCCTAATGGCGGAAATAACAAGTTTCTATCTCACAACAGCTTCTATCTGCTCACATGCTCCATTTATCACTGTCCATGCTAATTTATTATTATTCATGAAATAGTGAGAAGGAATTCAGTAGTTGTGTTGTTGTTGTTTTAGTTAAAGTAAGACTCTTCTCATCTTTGTGATTGTAACTCTTCAGGCTGTCCTGTGGAGATACAAGTTCTCCCAACTTAAAGGATCATCTGATGATGGAAAAAGCAAGATCAAGTTTTTATTCCAAAATCAAGACTCCAAATCTATTGAAGCAAAGGTAATTCACTTCGAGAGAACTTTAATGCTGCATGTCAAGGGAACGGCTATTCAACAAGACGATCAAAGCAACAAAGTTCTGAAAGACATATGACTTACATATGTTTCTTTTTCTTCTGTCTTTTAGGAGCTGGAGTTCTCAAACCTCTTCGCCGTGCTTCATTGTATTCACGCTTTTTTTGCTGCCAAAGTCGCTTGCCTGGACCCGATTTTTGTGGAGAGCCAAGGCACCGCGACGACCGCCGGGTTTTCTTCCCTTTGCAGTATGTCATGTAATTCACAGACACCTAAACTCAAATACGCCACCTGACAGGGGCCGCTCTCCTCTGACTCATTCTGAACGGATGCTGCATTGAAGCTGTGAAACCGTGGCCTAAAAAGGTGGACAGGTGAACTCAACAGTGATCACATCATGACATTATTACAAAAGACCTCTTTGGGAGCGATATACTTGATATTGTGGAAGACGACTCAGACTTCTGGAATAATCGTGGACCTAAACATGAACTTCTACTTTGAGAAACTTCACGAAGAGACTGTGGACACAAAATGTGTGATTCTAATATGTTTTTAAGTGAAATTGTCCTCTTGATCCTCCGACATCCTTATGCTCAACACATCTCAAAGAAAAATGCAGTTCTTTTCTCAAGGTAGCGTGCTTTTTTATGTGATTTTATTCAAGATTTTGGAGCCTTTTTGTTTCTCATCAGACAGCAAATGCCTTTAACTTCTGTGGGGATTTGTCTGGACACTGATATGACGACGCTTTCTATATTTCATTTTGAATTGAACCTACATTCGTACTTGAATTAGCAGTACAATTTATTTATGAGTCCCAACTAAAACCTCCATGGCAACATAAATCTGATTCAGAATTTTAGATAAGTTTAAACAGAAGTTTGCTGGCACCTTTGGTTGGATGAAATGAATGCTTTAGATGTGTGTGTGTGTGTGCGCGAATATACCGAGTAACCTCGTTTATTGTTCTCTGATTATGACGTAAACCCACAAGCTGAGGTCAGAGGGCTGTGTATGAAGGCGTAGTTTTTATTGTATGGATGAAAAAAATCACGGACCACACAACTATAATCTGACAATACAACTCCAAACACGATTATAAAACATCTTTTAGAATGTTAAAGCATTTTCTCCCCAAAACTTGATTATGTAAATAAACACTGACATTCAAATGAACTCAGAGAATTATGAATTATGGCGATTACTTGAGGGATTACGTGTAGGGATTATGGCATTTGTTAATTTGATGTGCACCGGAGACGACCAGGTGGAAACCTCATAACCTGGCGCTCTCTTCATCATCTTCTCGACCAGAAGAATTATGTCTGCATCGGTGTCTTTTGGAATATATTTTTTTTAACTTCAGCTTGTAAATATGACAACTTTCCGTTGACTATTAAGAAAAAAACACAGTGAAGAACCGAGATATGTAGCGTCGTGGCCTCCAAAGGTTCGGGATGCCCCTTTAAACTTCTCTCTGTATTAAACTGTTTATAAATGCAGCAGAGGGACAACTAACCTATCATACTCGAAAAGGGTTCAGGTCAATTAGCGCAATTAGTCATGCTCTTACCTTCCATTTACAAAGTAGACTCCAAACAGAAGAGGCCCATGGGTAAGTAAACTCTAGAGGATAGCAAATTAAATGGGGTCAGTGAAGTGCTCTGCACTGTGCGGCCTTGTTAAGCTGACATGAGTGTCTGAGGGAGACTAATGGTGGTGCAGTCTATGCAAAGAAAGTCTGAGTGATGCTTTTTGTGCTTTAAAATGATCTCTGTTGCATACCTTTATATCATAGGATCTAGAGAGTGAGGTTTATTTTATTTTTTGCAGATGTTTTATTAACAAATATTCTGTGTGATAAATTAATAAATAAGACCTTTTATAACATGGCTCACTTGTGGCGGGTTTTATTCTTCATGTATGGGGTTTTCACTGATTTAACACGTGAAGTTCAGTTCACATAACATGAAGAGAGCTGAAATCACAATTTTAGGTGTTTTTCAATTGTTCATTTGTGAAAACTTAATTTGATTGTACTCAAAAGGGAGCTATGCTTTCAGTTCTTAAATGCTGCTATTTTCTTGTAAGGAGTACAGCTTGAGATATACTGGACTGCACTCAAAGAAATTGACATTTTGAAAATTACCCTAATTCGGTGTCTTACTCAGAGTTAGATATGAAGATTGATACTCTCTTGAGAAGTGGTCTAACTGGAGATGGAATAAGCTCAACGTTTCGAACTATTCATTTGAATGACATGTAAGCAGTACAACTTAGAAATATATACTTGACTACACTTAGGTGCACTTGACTGCCCTTCTGAGACACCATTGAATTGTTAATTCTATTGAAATACACTTTGTACTCAATATTAACATACTTAAAATATAACTTAATTTACTCAAATGGATATTTCAGTGATGATATTTAAGGACATGGTCCATAATTGTATCAAAAAGAAGTGTAGTTAAATGCAATTTTGGGGGTTTCCTGAGAAAGTCAAGTCTGTTACAATGTAAAACCAAAAATCACACGAAAAAATCCTGATGAACTCAGAATGGAACAAAAGACGAATCGGCAGCTACAGCAGAGAAGCTCCAGGTGTGTTTGTTTTGTTCACCTGTCTGTCTTAAACTCCAGGTGCCTCTGTTCTGTTCACCTGTCTGCTTGAAGCTCCATGTGTGTCAATTACATCATTATGGGTTATGGTTAGCATTAATGTATCTTGGCATAGATCTAAAAAAAAAAAGGTTGCATCTGCCTCAATTAATCGTTGGTTTCATGCACCACCCGGTGAGCACGTTAAGCGACCAGAATCAAACACACCCATGTGTTGCGTCACCAACAGGTGCACGTCGTTTGTCTGGCTAATTGCTTAATGCGGAAAAAAAAATGTTCCACCAGCAGTGATTTCTAAATGTACTAATTAACTTTTACCTTCAGTGAGTTGTGTGAGGACTTTCTGCTGTTTGTGACAATAACAGTAACAAAATATCTGCAGAGCCTCATTCAGCCAAAATGTTTGAAAACTTTGAGGACCTCAGTGGGACAGAGAAGCTAATTGGACCGGTTATGCTGGGACAGATGGACTGAGTGGACTGGTTATGCTGAGACAGATGGACTGAGTGGACCGGTTATGCTGAGACAGATGGACTGAGGGACCGGTTATGCTGAGACAGATGGACTGAGGGACCGGTTATGCTGAGACAGATGGACTGAGTGGACCGGTTATGCTGGGACAGATGGACTGAG